TAGTAGAGACAACGAGTCTGATTTAGGCATCTGGGCTGTACGGTTCAGAGCTGAGTTCAACTTGGGGCTCACATCACTGACGTTTGACATCAAGCTTTAAACAGCTGGTCTTTTTGCTAACGTTTTGGATTGAAGTAACTCATGAGATTGTTCTACTATTCACATCTACAAATCCTTCTGGTTAATCATTGTTTATCAAAGTTAACTCTAGGAAATTATCTTCATGTAGTTTATTTCAAGAAGAAATGATTTTCGCCTAATGAAATAAAGTTCTCATAAGACCACGTTCGAAGGCCATGAAGGAAAAGCTGGAAAGGTGTCGGTATTGACCGTTCCATGTTGCTTCGTGCAAAACAGAGAATTGCAATATCCCAACTAATCACCTCGTCAATGATATCTCTAGAAGCGCTAAAGTGTGGCTGGTCTCCACTTGATGAGATACGGAGCGGTGTGAACTGCCTGGATTGTTCTACCGCAGCAATTGATGAGATTAGACAAAACGGTAACATCTATTGATACTTGTCTTCTTTCAGTATTTATGCAATCAACATTACACTAAGATGATGACCAGGGGATGATGTTGNTTGTATAGTTCACAATCGGCGGAGCTTGCAATCAACGCAGTATGGTTTGTGTGTTTAAACACCGAAACTGTAAAAAAGTCTGTAAAAATCCGTTCTTTGTTAACTAGAATACGTGCTAATGAGAGTATCGTAGATTTAAGATATATGCTTCTTCTCAAAGGAACACCAAGGTTTGAGACCTAGTTGACGGATGGGAACAACAGGAAGTTAAATCTGTGTGTGGCGGATGGGAGGAGTCGATAGGAATTTTATTTGCAGACACTTCACGTGCACTTAAATTACTTTCGTACAGGAATTACCAAATTCTCCAGCAGGATTGAAGAGACAAAGCAGTTTAAAGGCTTTTATTAGGAGATTGGAAATAACAATATATGAATATATATATATGAATTAAAACAGGCTGATTTACGATTTGGGAAATAATGGATTTTTGTGCATATGGAATGAAAGTTGACCAGGTTTAATGAGGCTATACTGAACTTGAGAGGTTCAGAGAAGATTAGCATCAATAAAAACGTCCAGATATTTAATACAGCTTACCCTGGATTCTCGTTCAGAGCCAATCGGTACTAGTTGAGATGGGAAAGAAGAACATGATGATGTAAAGAGATATTTGAAACGTTTCGAGGTATTAAGAGAGAGGGAGAGAGGTCGGATGCGGCAGAACACTGTTGAATGTTTTCCAAGTTGTCGAACCAGAGGAGTCGGAGATGGCTTGACCACCTCGTCGGTGCATTCTGTCGAGCAAAACAAAACGCGATTGAGCATGTCATTGTCTACGTAGTGATTGGAATGGGCAGATCAGATATGAAACGACTATTTGAGTTCACATGTATAGTTGAAAAAAGAAAAAAGAAACAAACTGGTGAACTGGAGCAAGAACACACGATGAAATCAGACTTGGCAATCCATCGCCGATGAACCTATAAGACCGATATTGTGCCAACTTCGAAAAACAAAGGTTTTTGATATATTGTGTATAAATAGTCTCATACAGAACAGATTTGAAACAAAACAATAGAATGACGACCAAGCTCCGTTTCCAATGTTGCGTATTCCTACCAATATGTTATCACTAATTAGGAATCGAATTGTCCAAGCGTTATTGCTATTACCATTGCCAGGTGTTGTAGTGATCGTGTAACCAGCACGCACGTACCATGGTAGAGCTTCTTCTTGTAACAAATCAAGAAACGGATTAAACGACCAATCCTGTGGTCTTAATTGGCATCAACCGGATTGACTGAATCCTATAGGGCAAACAAATAAACTATATTGTTGTCGATTGGACATTGAAGAGTCGATT